AAAAAGAGCTTGAGTTCAGGTATTTTAAACTGGAAGCTGCACTTGCACAGAGCAGTAGTACTGAACACAGAGCCTGAACCAGTACTTCAAGTAGCAAGGTGGTATGTGTGCCTGCTGGGGGGTTGATTCATTCTGCAGTTATAAAGCACATAAAGGTGCCTTATGAATGTTTAATGAATGAATGTTTAATTCTCCTTTTTAAGAGTTGCATAAATTACAGTGTTAAGATGTATCCTCAGCTGTATCTATGACTCCTCCAGAAAGGAAGCTAGGGCTGACAACATCCATCTGTGGATAATTTCCTTAGTAACCTGTTAAGATAACTTATGTCTTCTGAACTATCCAGCATTCAGTTACACAGCAGAATGTGCAGGGTTTTTCCTGCTTCTCTTTCAAGACTTGCCTCCCCACTCTAAATACCTACCTGTCAATCTTCTTTCATACATCAAAAGAGGCACTAAACAAACTTCACTTTCCAAACCACCTTAAACAGTTATGGCATAGCATGCAACAAAACTCTAACAACTCCTTGACAAAACACAGAGTGGAAATAATCTGAACAAGAGACAAGCAACAAAACATCAACAAATTAACTAGGGAAGGAAGCCTGGAGCCAGAAGTAAGAGAGCATAGTTTATTTTTTTGTAGAGCAATAATTTTACTGCAAGGTCAAAGCAAACTGAAAAGCTCAGCTGTACTGAGCTTTGGCCCAAGTCAGGTGGGAGTGCACCAGATCATAACCAAAGGCTTCTCAGACCAAAAATTAACTTTGCAAGTTAAAAATGGACAGACCAGGAAGAAAGCAGGATAGGAAAATAACAGATTCCTGGTGTAGGCAACAAGCTTAGCCTAAGAAAGAAAGCGTGGACACGTCTTCTAAAAACCTGCAAGATTTCTAAGCTTCTGTTATCAAGCAATGCATCTCGTAGTGGGAATTTGGCAGAGTTTAGTGAAACATAGCAGTGGATGAGATGATAGCACAGAGGAAGCATGTGAAAAATTACTGATCTTGGACTAGGAAATAAAATCAGCTTACAGAACCTAGAAAGGATATCAGTGGGAAGTGTAAGAAAACATACAATCACAGAAAGTGCTACTTTTCCCAAAACAAAGGTCAGATCATAAGAAACTGAATTCAGGCTACCTAAACCATCCAGAAAATCGGGACATAGTTATTAATAGATTAATATCTCATCCTTGGTATCACGAAAACAGATTATGAAAGCAACTATTTGTCTGAAGTCTTCATTGTGGTAATATATAGTATGAATAAAAAAAACCCCAAAAAACTTAGATGGTGATACAAGAACACTCTCCCTTGGCTTTTGTTTGGATTCTACTGTGCTAAGAACCTCAGGCTATTAAGAAGCCACCACAAGGAACATGCTTTCTTCAGCTGCATCCCTAATTAGTTCTGTTACTTTGAATAATACCTGCTTTCTTCATTTTATCACTCTATTACAGAGAATTTTAGAGATCCAGCTTCCAACATGTGCCTTTGGTGATGGTGGGTACTGCCGTTTTGGATATACCAAGTGAAATATTTAACAACCAAAGTAATGTTTAGGGGAGAGAGAGTAGAACACTGCTTTCCAAGACAGGTGTTTTATTTCACAGTAGCACAGTGCATCCTGTTAGCACTGACAAAAGACTAAAAGCTGTACCAAGATACAATTCACTAAAAGATGATGGTAATACTTGAACACTATCTTTGATTTAAGGACCCACAAAGAACACTAGTAAATAACTGCAACACTGTTGCTGTTCTGCTCTGGGGTATGCTGTGAAATTCACAAAGTAATGTGTTCTTAGTGTCCTTCCATAAAAATGACTGAAAGGACTCATGCATGTACAGTTCTCATGTTAAGTGCACTATGGCTGAAAAGAATACAGATGCTGTATTTGACCATTTCAAATGCAGTGTGCTAGAATTTTGCCAGCAGAAAGCGAGGACAATTATGGCATCCTGGATTTCAAGACAGAAGGTAACACCTTAGCTCAATGAATGCTAAAAATACCACATAAATCTGCAACTATTAAGATTTTTTTTTTTTTTATTTCCCCCTCTAGCAAGGAGGGTTAACATTTATGTCATTACCCATGACATTAAAGATGCCTCAGATATCAGCATCTGCCAAAGATATTTAGAAAAAAAAAAATTTCAGAACACGTCCCCTGGCAGAATAACGGGACCTAGGAGACACAGGGGAGAATAGAAGCAGGTTACTACTGCTTGCAGTGACAGGCAAGTTCCCTCCCAGGCTGCCTCACCTTCCCAAGTGCCCTTACACAACAGCCATGAGGCCCTGGAACAGGATGGACAGGCAACTGATCATGTGGATAAAATTTTCCTGCTGTGTTGATCCTCATTTCTCTGCTGAACAGTGACAAGGGAACACATGAAGAAGCATCAGGGAAAGTTTGGGCTGGATATAGGAAAAGATTCTTCACCAGAGGGTGACTGGGCACTGGAACAGGCTCCCCAGGGAAGTGGTCACACCAGCACCAGCCTGACAGAGTTCAAGAAGCACTTGGACACGCTGCTGAGCACACAGAGTGAATTCTGGGGCTGTCCTGCACAGGGACAGGAGCTGGACTCCATGATTGTTTTGGGTCACTTCTGACTCACAATATTCCATAATAAATATAAGTTTAAAAATAGGAGGAACATTTTAAACATTGATCAGAACAACAAGCAAATTAACCTCCCACTTCCAAGGTCTATTTTGAGAGGCTGGTGGATGTTGGTGCTGCAACAAGACTATATTAGTCCTTCCACAGAAGAAGGCCACTCAACATGTATTGGCTGAACATGAAATGGCTGGGACACGTAGGCGAGCCATGATGCAGGAGTTAAAATGAAAGAAGGCACATGAAAGGAATGAGACTGGGCAGATTAGGCATTTTTCCTTAGAAACTGAGCTCAACAGACAAGTTGAATGCACACCAGGGGTCAGACACATAACTTTTATCCAAGTTTGCATGTTTCACTCAGTGAATATGGGGAAATATGTAACAGTATTTTGAGACTAAAAACTAGCATGTTTTTCAGCAAGTCTCTTGAACATGCAAGCACACATCTGCAGAAACAGGGAAAACTGCTTGTTTATCACTTGTCTCATTTATCAGACTCATTTGCCTCAGAGTTACAGTACATGCTTTGCTATTTGTCAGAAATGGAAAACATTCCTGTACTTACTCAAAGTAAAAACATTCCTGTACTTACTTTAAGTGTCTGATTAAATACTCCACTTAGTGCAACGGAGCATGGCAGAACAAGTGCTGTACAATACGACACAGCAAAATGAGATGAGTAACTGCAGGGCAAGGACAACTAAGTTCCTTTCATCAAGCATGCCAAGAAGGGCACACATCTCTTTTTTTGAGACATATCCTGAAGGATTTTGGCACTTCACAACAAGCAAGTCTCCTACAAGACTTGAAAGGCACATTTCAGAAACTAGGTTAGTGCTCAACAAAATGCTATTACTATCTTAAACACAAGGAAGGTTTTGATTAGCAAGCCAATGCACAGTATCAGCAGAAACACAGTGGGTTGCCTCCCTTTCCTCCGCTTTCCATATACAATCTCCACCTGCTTCAAGAGATCATAGAACTCAAGATGTTATAAGGACTGAGCCTTGGGATTCTCAAAAACTAGCAGAATATGTCATTTTGCTATCTGAAATACTTTGAACTGTCACATCGTATTCAAATATATGTTCAAAAACAGAGACAAATAACTTTGGCTCTATATAAGTACAGATTAGCATTCTAAAGGATTGCATGGTATTCAAGCAAGAGAGGAAGATCACAGCATCCCATGCTGATATCTCAGAGTTCATTTCCCACAACTCTGCTTGACTGAGACTGAAATAAAGTTGCACTCATTCGTTCAAAATGTTAATGGTCATACTTTAATATTTGTATGCCATTGGTCTGGCTTTCAGGCTTTGTGCAATGACAATGCCTAACGTGAGGTGCTTTTATTCAATCCTTTAGTTTCCCTAAAGCAAAGTATTAGCAGCTGAGTATATTAATGTGAGGTTTCTTTATTCACTCTGGGTTTCTCTTACTTACTGTAATACTACCAGCAGTAACTGTTTTTTTTTTAACATATTTATAAAGCTCTTGTATGACCACTGTCACTTCTATATAGAATACACAGATATATTTCTATTAGAAATGACAGTGCTTTTAGCTTGATCTGGATATCACATCATACAATGATCTTACTCACAGTCCTAACCACATTCCTGGTTAATTTGGCCTTCATACAGGAAGAATTTCTTCCAACAGCACTGGACTCGGAAACATACTCTAAAGGTACTTAAAAATATATGAAAACAAAGAATATTTCTGTATTTTCTGTTTTCCTAACATATGCTTTGAAATTTTCTTTTATCTAATAATTTGCTGTGTACTTTTTCACACAACAATCATTTTAAATTTTATTTTTAAGAAAGTATTTATAATATGAATGCATCCCTTCACTCTTCAAAGATTTAATATAAAAACTAACCTAAGAGTCAAAGATTAAATACTTTTTTAAATGAAGGTGTTGAAGGACTCGATTTGACTTTGGATTTTTTAATGTAATCATCTTCTTCTACTACCATTGTCTAACCACACCCAAAAGCAGGCCTTAAATCACACAGAAGTGAGGACATTTGCACATCTCCACTAAAAAGGTATTACTCTAGGAAGACAGTTTACATATTCACCACCCTTTTCCCTTTCCCTCCTTTTCAATTCCAACAAATATAGGCTCTTTCCAAAGACTTTGGATAGATTTGATGTCAAGGACAGGAAAGTGACAGTAGTTCAGAATGGACTTTTTTTGATCCCTACCAAGGCAGGTTATCAGTTAACTGCTTAATTCTCACCAGGCCAAACAGACTTAATTAAAAAATAAAATAAATGTAACATAAGAAAACTAAAAAATGTGAACAATTTAGTTAATTATATAAAAACAAGGCAGTACTGATATTTATACTTACAGGCTGAGGCTGTTCTGCAATGCAGCAGTTGAAACACAACCAAAACTCACTCATCGTTTACAGTCTGAAGTGGGAACACAGATGAAAAGCAGGACTCAACCTTTGTAAGTCTGTGTGCAGGTAGTAAGTTCTTTGAACAGGTTTAATTTTAATGGCTCCAATGTGAAAATCTTCTTTTCTGATGAGCTCTTCTCCAAAGACAAGTCAGTCCCAGGACAAAGAACTTGAAGGCAAAAAGTTATTGTAGAGTCTTCTTCCAGAAGGTTGATCCCAGCACCAGAGAAATATTACGTGTGCTTCTTTGGTCCCTAGCGTTACATGAACCTGAAAACAGAAGTACATTAATCAAAAAGAGAGAATACAAAGAATCTTAAGGTCCAAGCCAGCCACCCACACCACTGATTTCTTGGTAATACCCCGAATCACAGATTGAAAGACATCAGTAAACAAGTAATGCACTTTTTTCTACAGTGACTCCCAGAAATGGCATATACCATAAATCCATTTACATTCCAGCTTTGGTTTGGTGAAGTGATACCAAGAACTGGCATTCAAACTTTTGGCAGTCATCTTGGTTTGTTTCTAACTTTCAAATGTCATTTCAGAAAGTGATAATTACCCATACACACCTTTATCTTCTTAGAGAATTGTGCCTGTTAACACATTATACTTCCCAAAGCACACATACTTCTCATCATACACTCACAATGTGAGATTTAAATGGTATTTAACCTCAACCTGGTTAGACAATTGTCAATCAATGGTATGGTCTCGTAAATGTTCAGGAAACACATACAGTTCTGTTTATAGAATACTTGCAAAATGGCTGGATCTGGTCAACACAATGTATTTTCTTTCCTTCCACCCCCTTCTATCCTATGCTACAGTTGACTTCAAAATAGGGTATTAGTTGTAGACCTTGAAATTATTTCCTTAAACCTCTATAACTCCTCAAGTGGAACAAATGAGGCTTCAGATTCCAACCATTCCTTTGCTCAAATTATGCTTGTTGGTAAACCTCCATTCTGGTTTGTTTCAGTAGGAGTGCAATAAAAATTCCTGTGAGACTTCAGTTATCTTGCCGCACATCATAAACTTTACTGGCAAAGTGAGATAATGAATATTCAGAAGTTTTTACAGGCATATTCCTTAATAATTCTTTATAAAACCGCATCTTCACTCACACAAACATTTGCACAACTATGCAATTTCTATTTCTATGCAATTCCTCGCAGTGTGAAGTTCTTTGGAGGCTCCATGCATGTAGCAGTACACACATTCTGTGGCAGAGCATCTCCACTTTGCTTCCACCTTCATTAGCTCTGTCCCTCATTTATTACATACGTGCCAAGTCACTGCACTACGTGGCCATGACTAGCCATGTACTTTCCACAACTGCTGTCTAAACATGCACAAAAAGAATACAGCAGAACCTTTTCTATCTCCAAAGCTTTTGGGAAGCTCTCACACTTCTTGGCTTTTAAGACACTATCTGAAGCTCTTTGAGAAAAAAAATCCATGCTGCAGGAACAACATCTAAATAGCAAAATCACATCTAAAGTACTCCTGTCTCCTAGCTTTGAAAAATCAACTGATACTGTCAAAATTAGGTTTATCAGCCTGTTTCTGACATTCCTTGCTTAAAGATCAGAACAGGAAGTGGGGTGTGGGGGGGGGGAATATGATTTGCTAGCTTACCCTATTGCTAATACCATATAAAACAAAGCAATTTTTTTAAACAGGAGACCTTGAGGGCAAGAAGGAAACCTAGAAAAGGAAACCGAAACCCTGGTCTGACAAATATACTTCTATAGAACCTTTTGCTTGTTAGGCACTTAAAAAAAGGTCTTGGAACAGTGCTAACATGACACATTTTAACTACTTAAAAGATGGTTTTCCTCCTTTAAAGATCACCATCTAAATCTCATGAATGAATCAAGAAATTGTAATAAAACTCAGGTTTCAACAATCAGTAGTGTGAAGCCCAAGAATGAAAATAGAAGTCTCTACAGAAGTTCTCACTCCACACTTAGGTGGCTTCACAGCCATTTTCATAGTTATTCTGGTGACTGAAAATTTCATTAACATTAAATAGCAAGAGTAACAAAGACCACCTTGACAGAAAAATACTCTGCTGTTCTCTACAGGCTCAGAATTTGCATGCCACAAAATTCTTCTCTAAATTTGATTTGTATGTTAACTCCTGCTAAGCATGTAACATTTGACAATTCTAGTCCCATGTTTGTACAGCTTATGTCTCCTTAAGAGCTGGTTGATTTACTTCTAAGATAGATATGAAGTTGTTCTGAAACACAGCAATGCTTCCTCAGTGCTAGCTGTTCAGATTATGAGGAACTGAGAAATCAAACACTCAAAGTTAGTATTTTGAAGTTTGATATATTCTAAGCTGCTAGAGCAAGGAATGGATATTGTACAGTCAGCTTTTCTTGCTCTGCAAGTACCCCAATACTCTGATTTGTGACTTCTAAAATTATGATACTTGTTGCTTCCTTACAATCTCTTTCTGACTAAGTCCAGAACTAACACACCAAATTCTTGTTCTTACAGAGGGTTAACTTGGATCCTCCTGTTACACCCAAGTACAGAAAACATACTCTGAAGGGCTGGGAGATTCCTTTTGTTGATCTGCCTCTGTGTTTGTTCACTGACAGCTGGCACACTCCTCCAGCTCACTGCAGCCCCTAGCACTGTGCAGAGCTGAAGCCCTGGGAGCAAACCTGAAGGGCTTGTGTGGGCACCTGTGAGCCTGGAAAGCTCTTCCTGGTCACAGAATACCCAAGGGCACAGAAGCCTTGCTCTACACAGCTGCTCTCTGCATGCAGGACTTGTGACCTTCAGGACAGTCAAAACTAACTCCCTGTCTTAGATCTAAAGGTTTCAAATGACAAATCCAAGCTAATGATTGTAAAGAATAATCTCTGATTACATGTTAATTCTTGAAAAGGCATTTTTAGTTCTATAGCCTGTAAAGTGCTGCATTCGCCTTTAATTTGGTGGTTCTGCAACCACTAACACTTCTTCAATCTTTTGACTTTTTATTAAAACACACAGCTAACATATCAGTATGTCTGGAGAAAACTGACATTAACTGCACCTCTTAAAAGGCAAACAAGTCCTTAGCAATATTTTTTAGAGCTCTGGAATTTCATACATCTTCCCAGTCCACTAAAAAAATGATTTTTACAGGAATCAAGTTCATATGAATATCAAGTATAAATCTGTTGCACCAATATGGAAAAAAAAAGCGATTAAGCTGAAAGCAAAAAGGTGCATTGGTGCTGTGATGTTAATGACAACACACTAAAACTTCTCTTACACTGTTAGTTGCTTGTTTAAAGAACAAGTTGAAGCAGGAAAATTCTACTGTTTTTTTCCAAATTATTGGTTATATAAAGAAAGAAAGAAAAATCATAGTGGCCTACAGCTTCTAGTCAGGTAATTATGTAATATTAGCACACTAGCAATCTCATGGGAAATTGCTCCTGCAAAACTTGCAGGTAGGAATTGCATCCCAAGCCTAGCTGCAATTAATGAGGTCTCAAAATACAAGCAGTATTTCCATCCTTTTTCATAGGATTAAGATTCGAGTCACAGAACCATATAATGGTCTGGATTAAAATGGACTTTACAGATCATCTTGTTCCAGCCTCCCTTCCACAGGAACACCTTACACCAGCCCAGGTTTCTCAGGGCCCCATCCAACCTGGCCTTGAACACTGTCAGGGATGAGGCATTCACAACTTCTCTGGGCACCCTGTGCCAGTGTCTCATCACCCTAACATGGCATTGTTTGCAGTATTGCTGCATTTGTCTGTGCAGACCTGCCAGATGAAGAGCACAACAGAGGCTGAAGAACACACTTCACAGGAATACTCTGCCACCCTTTGAGCACCATAAACTGAGCAAAGAGCAAAACAAGAGTGGCACTGTAGAGCTCACATTCAAAAGACAAGACAACTATTCTGTCTGAACCAGAAATTTATCAGAGCAATGACTGATGAAAGCCCAATCTGTTTTTCCCATGTAAACTTTCTGAACTCTGAATGCAACTTATTTTAGAGTGTATGATTCACATTACAAAAACACACAGGATTATCATGCTGAACAACTTTGTTGCATCTTAATGCTTTTATACCTTAGTTATTATACCAATTTCATAATGTTTATAGAAATTCTAAATATAAAGAAATCAAGATTTTAAAAATAATACATTGTTTAAAATTTAAAGTGAAACACCAATAAGGCAATTTTCTTCACCCTAAGGTTTATTCCACAGTGGCTGGTCTAAGGCAGAAACCAAAACTACTGCTTATTCTTAAATATCAGTCATAAAGTCAAGAAGTGCAAGCACTGCATTAATGATTTGTGGGCAAAGCGTATTTTATTACATTATCACCCATTTTTCTTACTAAAGTAGTATTAGGTTTTCAGTGAGAAAAGTACAGAGCAGGAAAGGAGGAAATGTGTTGCGATGCACTAAATAGCTTACTTAGTTGTTGTTTTGCAATGGGTGATTGGGAATTTGTAAAAATAAATAAATTAATTAACCTGAGTAGTTTTTATATTGCACTATGGAGTTATGTCACATTGGTCTATTCCACACACCTTTCCCCTCCTCCCTAAGTCTCAGGTGTGATGGGCTCTCCCTGACCTGCTCCCCCCTCTCCTCACCCGAGTCCCATTGGATGTGGCTTCCTGGTTCCGCCCCACCCCTTCCCAGAGGGGAACAGGAGATTCCTACAGAAAGGTAAACTAAGATATCTATTTTCCCTCTGAGCTTTTCACATTTATTGATATAGAACAGGTTAGACAGCATTTACCTAAACTGATACAAACAGGAATATACAATATGCTCTGGAGAGTCAGTTAGAATAAAACTATTTATTAAATATACAGCTTGAGAACAGTCTGGCCTTTTTAAAAAGGCATCCTTTTAAGGGTGAATTTTCTATATCCTTTGACTGTGTACCGTTCACTGTGGCTTTACACAGGAAATGTGGTAACAACGCTCTTTGACAATCACTTGAAACAAATACAACCACAGGAAGAAGAAAATAAAAATTATAGAAAAAAAAAATCTGAATTTAACTAGGCTTGCTCCAAAGCCCAAAGTACTATTTAAGAAGAATGGGGGGGAAAAGGGTTAAAAAAAAAAAAAAAAAAAAAAAAAAAAAAAAAAAAAAAAAAAGAAAAAAAAAAAAAAAAAAAAAAAAAAAGCAAATCATGAACAAAAATCATGCCATGCCATGGTATGTCATATCACAACATGATGTGCCGTAAGAAGCACATGTAGACACAAAGTC